CGAGCCCATCAGAGGAAAGACGGAGCTGCCGTGCGGGCAGTTGCAGCCCTGCTTAGCTGTAACCCGACTGCGTGGTAAAAAAGCTTTCCCGAAAAGCTGAAAGTACTTCTTATTTACAGGTTTCCCCTTACAAGACCCGATCTTTGCAAGAAATGGGAAGCTGCTGTTAAAAGGAAAAACTTCAAGCCAACCAAGTATAGCAGCATTTGTTCAGAACACTTTACTCCCGATTGCTTTAAAAGGGAATGCAACAACAAGCTTCTGAAAGAAAATGCCGTTCCCACAATATTTTGTTATACTGAACCCAGTGAAAAGGTAAACTCAAAGCACTTGTAGTTTAAGGTACTGAAATGGACCTGTATTGCTGGTATTAGCCTAGCAGGGCTTGTTGTAGCGGCGCAGTGGGGAAAAGCAGCAGATTGTGAGGGATACTGGCAGAGTGTGTCCACCTGAGGCACTGGGAGCGCTGTGGTGGCTGAAACACATCCCACAGCTGTTCTCTTTTTCTTTGACAAGAGCAGAGGTGTGGGCTATCCCAGGCTCGGCAGCAGAGTGGGAAAGTATTGGCCTGTAGTTAAGTTGTTCATCTGTGTTTCTGGCATATTTGGAGTTTTAGAGAGCCTTCAGCAGCACTGGCAAATTGCAGTGTACTCTCCCATGCTGACTGGCAGCTACCAAACCACCTTACTTCTAAACTTGCCTTTTCTAAAGGGCTTTGTCCTCTGGCTTTGCAGAATTAAATTGGGATGCAAGATGTACCTGCACCTGCTATCTCTCTGTGCTGAAACCATCCATGTCTTGCCTTAACATTTACCTGGTGTTTATAAACCAGGCTGACCCCTAGCTTCTCTCTCTGAACTTCTAATGGTAAGCTCCCGTGAGAGAAATTGTTCCCTTTGCTGTGCTGCTAAACCAGTTTACAGTGAGATGCAAGCCAGTTATGAGTTTTTCTGTCTTCATGTATTAACTGCAAGACAAGATTGAAAAAGACTGATTCTTAACTCCTTTGAAGGATGTAAAATATTAGATGTCTTGCCACACTGCAGTAGAGGAAGTGGCAAAGGAGAGAATGGGCAGGATAAGCCTAGGGGGTGAAAGACTGTAACGGAATGAAGTGCACAGAAGACAACGGAGACTTCTGCTTGTCTGATTTTTCTCTTTATATACGATATTGGATATGATGCAGAAGTAAAAATGGAATATATGTGAAAAATTAAAAGCAACTAGAAGAGAAGAGAGTATAAGTAGAAGGTATGTAAGGAAAGACAATCCATTTCCAGGTAAATACAGCTGTAAGAAGGTTTTTGTTTGATTAGGCTTCCTGCTTCTGTATGATATGCAGGTTCAGTGTAACACGTAAAATAGTTCAAAAATTTTTGTCGCCTTGAAGCTGAATGGATGTGTAGCGTAATTGCAAAAGTGCTAATGCTGAGCCACGTTCCTCATTTTGTTACTGTGCCTGAGTCTACAAAAACGCAAAAGAGAGTCTTGTAGAAGAATTTAATGCTATTCATATTTGTCTCATGGCACTTTCAAATGAACTGCCACATATCTTCAAGAAATAACGTAGTAACAAAGAGTAATATGGTTGCTTTGGAACTGAATCCACACCAGTTTTGAAATACAGCTTTTTATGGCTTGCATTATGTGAATTAAAATTCTTTCTTTTTCTTTACATATGTCTTAGAAGAACCATTTATTGGCTGCAAGAAGTAATTAGAATTCACTTATGCTGTGTCAGTGATACCAATGATCTCCGTGATACGTTGTGACAATAGTAACATATTTACAGAGGTAGCACATCTTGGATAAGGTACAAATAGAAGTTTCTGTGTGAATTTAGCTGTCTGGCAATGATCTGATTTCTGCTTGTTCTTCCAACAAGGGTGAATTTCTCTTTGCCAATTGCATCTTTGCCTTGTAGGTTTTTTTTGTACAGAAGTTTGAAAGCGATAGCTCATAGGGTCAAACTTTTAAGATTATTATTCATGTGTGAATTAGGTACGCTCACTGTTAGTGATGTCTTACAATTGTGACATAAAGGTGGTGGTTGGCTGCTTTAGTACTTTAAAGTGATCAGTAATGTTTGGGTGCATATGAAACTTCCCTTCAACACCAATCACAAAACTGCCTTCTCCATTGCTGCCTGCCAAGTGTTGTAGCTTGTGTAATAGGGATATCAAGACCTCTAGACGCCCCCACAATTAGCTTGTTTGTGTATGAAGTCGAGGAAGTTAATTGCATGACCTTCAGATCTGATGAGCTTAATAGGTAGATGATGAGGATTGTCAGCTGCACTTATAGCCAACGTTGTCCCCGTGCCTGTGCTTTTACCTGTAGTAGTATTCAGACTGGCAGCAGTAGGCAGTTAGAAAACTGG